ATAAGCAACTTCCAAAAATCTAGAATGACAGAGAGACAGCTGGCTACCTGGCCAGTTACCCAAAGTTCATCTGCAGTGTTGGGGCATCTGTCTTTAGCCTATAGGTCTAGAGACTCTCAGTCACTTTTACTGTGTGTCCTATAGAATGTCTGTCAGTTTCTTCTGTGAAGCAAGAACCTGAAGGACCATCTCACCTTGCAAAGTTCAGTGGTCACCTTCCTGTGGGTCCTCCATGTCCATTAGATACAACATTTTGTCAAGCAGTCCAGGCAAGAACAGTTTCTTGCCCAAATGGCTATTTTGGCCAAGCAGAAGATAAATTCCATATAGAGTGTCTTCGACGCCCATCTTTCTGAAGTAAATGATGTTGCCAGGAGCAGATGTGTCTCATAGTCCAGAAAAGTATAAGTTTTTGAAACATTTTAAATGCCATATTCTGTAGGTCTTTGAAGTGTTTGAAGATTATTTATCTAATTGAAATATATTTATGTATATCTAGAAAACTTAACTAAAATGACTACAAGTGTGATTATCATAGAAGACTAATTATTAATCTGTACTTCTTAATTATCCATTACAATTTAAATGAGTTACATAACATAATACCTTAAATGAGAGTAGAAATATATATATACTGTATAACAAAATTAACTTTAAATTTGTATCAATAAACTAAAATCTATATCAAAGTAAAACATTTTAAACAAGTTGTTGTTCTTTAAAAGTAGGTTCAATAATCTACCTTTCATTCTATCATATCTATATCCTATATTTCTAGATCAGTTTTGTTTTCTTTCTTTTTGTTTTCAGAGAACATGCCACGATATAGCCCTCACATAGCATTCCTGGGTCCCTAGCTCCCTGGGATATACCTCACTTGACAGTGCTTTTCTACTATACAGGAAACCCTCAATTGGATCTGTAAAGTCCATTAAATGGGGTACATGGTACTCACTTGTAATCCCACCATTCTGGAGGTAGAAACAGAGGAACAGATAATCAAGATCATCCTATCTATACAGGCTAAGAACTTGTTTTGAAAAATAAAGACACTAAAATAAAAAAAAGTTTTTACAAAAACCCAAAGCTATGTAGTTCTACTGTTTTGAATTTGTATCAATATATAAGTCTTAAATAGGAATAGAAAAAGTTTACATTTGTATCAATATACAAGAATCCATATCATTGCAAATTATCTTAAGTTGATAGTTTGCTTAATTAGTTTACCAGCAGATATAATAACTACCTTAATATTCTATCCTATCTATTCCCCTTCTTTTCTTTTCCAAAAGAGAATCTTGAGTCTAAATATTATTGTCCACCCCCCAATCTGCTACATTTATCCACAACCCTGAGAAAATAAAACCTTTTGGGAGAAGGAGTGTCATTTTCATAAAATTGCTTTTGCTGTCTAGTGGATGATAGTATCTCTTGAATCCTGTAAGAAAGCTAAATGATTTAGTCTCAAGAGGACTAGCCATAACTATTGTAGACAATCTCACAGTAATGGGTAAAATTTATCTGAAGTTCTGGCTACAAACGTAATATGATGGACCATCTCATTTTTTTGGTTCAATGGCATCATTATGGACTTGGTAGAGTCATTGTTGTGGGGCCCCATCTTCCTTCTGGAGACTTCATGGATTGGAAATATTTATTTTTCACTGGAAAACTTGAACATTATTAATATCAAAATGGAAAGTTTGAATCTGAAGTAGACATGACTTGTGAAGAAGGATTCTGAGGAATCAAGACTAAGCATGGAAAGAAATAAAATCTCAACAACAATGATCCCTAGATATTTGTTTTCTTCTGTCCCTCATCAGGTGCCTCTTCTGATATGAGACAGAATCTCCTTATTTTTTCTTTTGCAAAGTACTTGGGTTTGGAGAAGGAGATGGCCACATTCCAACTCCAAAGCCAGCTTGATTTATAATTGAGTCAGGACCATAACTTTTCTAGAGTTAAAGAGATATTGGTGTTAGGCAGTGAGATATTACCCTGTGTAGTATATTGGTACCAAAATGTCCTTCCCTTCTTTTGTAGATGGTTTGGTGTCCATTGTTGATTTCTTGAAGATGAGTATTTCTATTATCTCATAAAGACAAAAATCAGAACCCTGCCTTGACCCTTGTTTGTTGAGTTTTCCTTACAACTTGTAGAATTGTCACATCGATGGATGAGCTGTCATTTCTCCTCATCAAGGGGTTTTTTCCTGTTCAAATCCAATTTTTCGTCATTTTGTTGGTATCCACAGATTTTCTTCTCCTTCAGAATCAAAAGCAGAACCCCTTCCCCAACGTAGGACATATCCTGGCTTCCATTGCAAGGTCAACATATTTCAAAGTACATAGGTTGGTTTAGCTCAGGAGTGTTTTCCATTGTCCAATGTCTCTCCACAGCTGCTGTCCCTTTCTCATCAGAACTGAGAAAATTCAAAGTTAATAAGGCATTATCTAATCTATTTCTAGGGGTCATTGCTATTTCTTTCTGTTTATTTAGCATATCCTTTAAAGTTCAGTTAGATCTTTCTATGACTGCTTGGCCTGTGGAATTGTGTGGTATATCTGTAATATGCTCTATATTGTAATAAGCAAAAAAACTGTTTCATTTTACTAGAGACATATGCGGAAGCATTGTCAGTCTTAATTTGTACTAGTATATCCTTGATGGCCATATGCAGTGGGATGTCTTTCTGTATGTTGTGAATATGTATTGCTTCAATTGGTTGATAAACAAAGCTGCATTGTCCTCTGGCAGGGCAAGATGGAGCCAGGGGGAAAAATCCAAGATAGGAGAGAAGAAAGGAGAGTAGGGCAGACATTGCAAGGTGCTGGCAGGAGAAGCATGATGTAAAGTACCAGTAAGCCACAAGCCATGTGGCAAGACATAGATTTATAGAAATGGGTTAATTTAAGATATAAGAACTAGCTAGCAAGAAGCCTGCCACGGCCATAGTTTAAAAATAATATTAGCCTCTGTGTGTTCATTTGGGTCTGAATGACTGTGGGACCGGACAGGACATAGAAAAACTTCCAACTACAGCCATAACTTCTAATAAGTGTGTAATTACATAATCAGCCTTTTCAGAACTTATAGGAGTTGCCCACTGAAATCCTGAATAGGTGTCAATGGTGTGGCATATATATTTTAATTTTCCAAATTCTGCAAAATGAAAACTATTCATCTGCCAGATTTTATTTCTTTGTATAACTTTAGGATTACTTCCTGCAGATAATGGAGCTTGGATAAAGAAGGAACAAATATTACTTTTTTTATGATTTCCTGGCTTCTTGCCAAGTGATGGAAAAGTCCTTTATCAAACTCTTGCTATTTATATTGTGTTTCTTATGAAATTCTGAGGCTTCTAGCCTATTTCCTATTAATAACTGATCAATCTCATCGTTACCTTGTGCTAGAGGACCTGGCAGAACCATATAAGATCTGATGTGTGTTATATATATATATACATATATATATATATATATATATATATATATATATGTTGTTCCCTATTTCTGAACATTTCCTGTAATTGTATTAATAGTGAAGTTAATTCTGTTTTATCAGGAATACATTAAGCAGTTTTAATATGTAAAACAACTCTCTCTGCACATTGAGAGTCAGTAACTATATTGAGAGGTTCTGAGAAGTTCATTAGTACAGTAAGACCGGCATATACTTTTGTACAGAATTGTAAGGACTTTGAACCATTTTGTTTAAATCTCCTGTTTTATATCCTGCCTTTCCTGATTTATTTGCATCAGTATAGAATGTGGGGACTCCAGAGATTGGTTTTTGCCGTACAATGTGAGGAATGACCCATTCAGTTCTTTGTATAAATTCTTTTCTCTTGCTTTTGGATAACAGTTGTTAACTTCTCCCACAACATTATTGCAGGCTCTTTGCCAATATTCATTATCTTTCCATAAAGAGGAAATTTCCTCATTAGGTAAAGGTGCTAGAATTTCTGCTGAGTCCATTCCCTGTCAATTGACAAAGTCTTAATTTTCCTTTTAAAATCAAATCAGAGATCTTTTCCACATATATCTTTAACTTCTTACTCAGTTTACATGGTAGAAATATCCATTCCAATACAATATATTCCCTCTGCATCAAAATCCCTGTAGGGGAATGTCTGGAGGGTAAAATGACCAGAATGTACTTAAGTTCTGGATTCACACGATCCACAGGTGCCTCTCATATTTTCTTTCCTTCTAGAACCAATTCCATATCAGCTTCAGCTGAGAATTCTCTTGGACTTTTTAAGTCCTTGTCCCCTTTTAGGGTATTGGCCAAATTTTCTAGTACATCTTTATGTATTCCAATAATAGTCTGTAAAGTGGAAACTCATCCTAACAATCTTTGAAAATCATTGAGTCCGCAGTTGATCTCTCCTGAGTTGTATCTTTTGAGATCTAATTTTTTGTAGATCTATCTTATAATCCTAAATAACTAATAGCATCTCCTCTTTGTATTTTTTTTAGGAGCAATTTGTAATCCCCTGTGGGCACCAGAAACAGTGAGAAATCCAAGGGAGTCTGCTTAAGGAGTATAATGAATTTATTAGGACACAAATTGGAAAAAACAACTCACTAAACAGAATAGGCAAATCATCACAGGGTCCTGAAAGACTGTGCCTACAACGTCCTTCAGCACCATCCAAGCCCAGGAGGGGGAGAAGAGACCCAGCATACATGCCTCTCAGGTCTTAAGAGTAGCCCCGAGCCCATGCCCCAGGGGTTGGTACTTCAAGGTCATAGGTAGAACAGGTACCTACTCCAGTGAGGTGAGAGCAAAAGGCAACTGTATGCTCAGCAGAGGATGTGAGCCTTCTCCTCATGCTTTCTAGTCCTCTCCATATCCAGCCAGCCTTCTCAAAGTAATGAAATTAATGATCCTTGAAAGTACAGTCTTTTACATTGTTGATTAATATGTGTCATCGTATATCAGGCTTAAAACAAATGAACAAATCAAACAGAAAGGGAAAAGGTGTCCTGTTATCTCATCCAGGTTGCCCACGCTTGGCCCCCAAGAGGTGGCATGCCAGGTGGAGGGATGGGTGAGGGGACAGGAGGTTGTCCACCAGGAGGCAGAGCTGGAGGCAGGTAGCTGGCTGGTGGCAAACCCAAACCTGGAGGAGGGTGAGGAGGGACTACATGAGTAGGGGGCAGGCATGGAGGTGAGGGTGGGAAATTAGGGTTGTAGGTAGGGGGAGGTTGAGGGTAGCCTGGGGTAGGGGGAAGAATGGTAGTTGGGGGGAAGGAAGCTGGAGGTAGAGGAACAGGAGGTGGAGGTGGGTTGTGGGGGTAGACATGGGGGTGGTAGGAAATATGAGCAGGTGGGCCATAGGGTGGGCACAGGGCACCATAGGAGGGACCCTCGGTCTGCATCATGGATTGCAGGCTCTGGAAGCCCTCTCCTGACATGTAGGAGCTGGTGGTAGACATCCCAGTCATGTAGCTGGAGGGCAATGGGGGTAGAGGCCAGTGTGACAATGGTGGGGGCTGGTGCACAGGAGCTGGGTGGGCTGGAGGAGGAATCTGGACTTTGGGGGGGTCACTTGCTTCCCCTGGACCAGTTGCTGCAGCCTCCTCTAAGGCAGGAGGGAGAGGAGGCTTCCAGTCTGCAGGGGGGTGCTCTGGAGGCAACGGTGGGTGAATGGTCTCAAGTTTGGGAATCTTAAGTGGTGGTTTTGTGGCTTTGTTCTCTTCCTTTGGAGAAATCGCCATGGCTGTGCACTTAGCCTGTTTTGGAGATGGTGTTTTGGGCTGCTGCTGAAGCTCTGTTGCTTCAGAGCCTGGAGATGGCCAAGACTGTGGTAGCTGTGCCACTTGTGATGTAGGCTGCAGAGCTGGGGGCTGCTGCGGGGGAGGAGGGGTGTGTTGTTTCTCTTTCCTGTAAAGATCCAGGATTTGGTGGCAGATGTCTTCCAGAACATCTACAGGGACATCTTCAACAAACTGTTCCCACCATCTCCTGGATATGGGACTGGAGGTCCACTCTTGGATTTTAAATTTTTGAAAGCGTCCCGCAAGATACATTGCTGCTACAGCTAGGATCTCTGGCTCCCACTGCAGTGACAGGGTGGTACAGAGACTATCATTTACAAATGTCCATGCCATTTGAATCAACCTTTGAATTTTCTTTTTATCACCTTTGAGCTGCTTTGCGTATCTGAGTAGGAACTGGTACGGGTGCTCTACTTCTAGATCAAACTTTATGGTCTGCAGTAAGATCCTCTCCAGCACCAGGACTTCTTCCTTTGGGTCATCTCCAAACTGACTGAACTGGACATCATTTAATAAACTGCGAGCCGTTTTGATGATATCGTTACATCTTTTTGGTGTCTCCTCTACTTTCCCAGCCAGAAAGAGACAGCAAGCTCCTGTAACATATCGTGGATATTGCTTGAAGGAATGAAACATATAGAATCGATGAAAATAAATGATTCCAGTAGCCAAGGTGTCATAGTGTAACCCCAAATGTGTGCCCATATCAAAGATGAAGCGAGCCCCCTCTTGACGGTATCGGGCCTCAGTGGCTGGATCAAGTCCTTCAAGTTGTGAGGGTGTATGTACCAAGTCCTTCTTATCCCAGTACCAGCACGGTTTTGTGTGGTCCGGCATTGCTGATATGACTGAAGGGCTTGAATTTTCTTTGTTCCACTCCATTTATTGAAGTAGCCTTTTCTTCCCCAAAGGGCCTCTGGACTGTTACAATCCTCTGAGAATCTTTCTTCAGGTTGACATCAACCCCTGGCCACAGGCAAACCCCTTACCAACTCCTCTCCTTCCTGACAGCAGCAGTCTTGGAGATTGAATGTCCAGGGTCACTTTCTACGACAAGAACATTTCCATGTAAGTCCTGAGTGATTTTTGGGACCCCACAGCCAATGGAAAAGGATGATTGTAAAGCATTCCCAAGACCCTCTGGAGTGCCATGATCCTCAGGGTCTTGTCCTCAGAGAGATTCCCTCTACTGTGTTCTGAGCTTGTGGATACACTTGTGGCCATAAGACAGGCCGATAGGGTCTTATTTGTTACATGACTCTGCACTAGATAGCACTGATGCTGTACGTATAACAAGTACACCCGTTATGTGTCTGTTGGCAGTAAAGAGGAATATGTCCTTTGCCCCTCAATTAGCTATATCTCTCCTGTGCCTGTTCAGTGGTTTCCAGAAACAGAAATGATACACTGAAATGAGTAAATGGAAACACACCTCCCCAGGAAGGAGCCTTTGGCAGAGGAACTGCCAAGGAGTCAAAAATATGTTGTCTACCGGTCCACAGGAACCCTTGTTCCACAAAAACAAATATAAACAGTAACATGAAGGGCCCACATTATGAGGGAACATGCTAATAACCTCAGCACCCTGAGTCAGGAGGATCTTGATTTCCAGCCTCCCCAGAACTGCAGGCCAGTTCTAGGACAGCTTGAACAACATAGGAAACCCTTGTCTCAAAACAATCAACAACCATAATGAAATCAACAAGCTATCATAGAAAGACATTTGAGATGGAGGTAAAACTTAATTTAGACCTATACTCATTGTCTTCAATGTGTTCATCTGAAGAGACAGAAATGAAAATTTCCTGTCCTATCTTGGGTCTAAAGGTCCCTACATCAAACCGCATGACCCGAGGGAGGACAACTACTCACCAGTTCTGAGCACTGACCACAGTCTCTTTATCCCAGCTGAGCCAGGCCCTTCTTCCAGGCTCCAGGTCTCTGGGTATCTTCCATGGCTCTCCTGAAGCCTTTATATACCTTTCTGCTCACCCTCCCTATTGAAATCCTAACTTACAACTCCAAAGCTGCAATTTGATTGGTTGGCTCAATCTCCACCCCTTCAATTCTACAGACAACATTCAATCATTTCGTTGATTGAATCAGAACTCTTTGTGAAAACACCCTCTAAAGTCTAAGATCAATATAAACATTCCTCTTGTTAATTACTACAAACACTGAGTTTGTTGAATTGTCCTTTTATTTGCTTATTTATTACTTAGTTTTGAATTTGTTACAGGGCCTGGGTCTTGCTCTGAAGCTAAGGCTGTTTTGGAACTCTAACTCCTAGTAATCCTCCTGCTTCGGCATCCTTCCTCTTTGGATTACTGTTATGAATCATCATGTGTCGCTGAACTTGATTCTTGTGACAAACGCAGTCTGAGTTTGAGTCAGTTTGTGATTTAATCTGTTACTGATAATAGACATAAAAATAATTAAGAAATATTTTTGTCAATGGACCCTGGGAAAAACACCTAGTCAGTCTGGAATATGTTCTGTAGCTCAAGGCCTGAACTGGATGCTCTGTCAGTAAACTCAAGTAGCAGCTACTCAAAAGGGTGAGGCAGGAGGATGGCTTGCATCCATTAATATTTTAGAAAGCACTGACTGGGTGGTGGTGGCACATGCCTTTAATCCCAGCACTCAAAGGCAGAGCCAGGCAGATCTCTGTGAGTTCGAGGCCAGCCTGGTCTACAGAACGTGATCCAGGACAGGTACCGAAAGTTCACAGAGAAACCCTGTCTCGAAAAAAAAACAAAAAAAAATATTTTTTGAAAGCATTTCTGTACCTATACCTCAGATAGTAAAGTCCTTGCTTGGCATTTATAAAACCATAGGTTTTGTGATCTAGATGTTGGGATATGCCTGCCTTTCCATAATGTGAAGATTTGAGTAAAAGGCTCAGAAATTCAAGGTCATCTTTGGTTATATAGAAAGTCTGAGGCTAGTGTGGCCGGCACTAAACCATTTCTCAAAACAATTTTAAAAATGTGTCAGGGTACAACCACTGTGGAAATCAGTATGGAGGTTTCTCAGAAAATTGGAAATCAATCTACCTCAAGACCCAGTCATACCACTCTTGGGCATATACCCAAGGAATGCTCAATCATACCACAAAGATACATGCTCAACTATGTGCATATCAGCATTATTCCTAATAGTGAGAACCTGGAAACAACCTAGATGCCCGTCAACTTAAGAATGGATTAAGAAAATGTGGTAAGAAAATATACACAATGGAGTACTACTCAGCAGAGAAAAACAATGACAGCATGACATTTGCAGGCAAATGGATAGAACTAGAAAATACCATCCTGAGTGAGGTAACCCAGACCCAGAAAGACAAACAGGGTATGTACTCACTCATAAGTGGATACTAGATATAAAGTAAAGAACAATCAGACTGCAACCCACAGAACCAGGGAGGCTACATAGCAGGGGAGACCCTAGGATGACTGTGGCTTATAATAAGTTTTGGTTTTACTCAATTACTGGGCAAGCGTCAATGAAACATTTCCCTATTAGGATAGGAATTTATACTGTATCAAGCTGATAATAGAAAAATTAATTAATTAATTTTTAAAAAATGTGTCAGAGTGAAAGACCCTAGCCCTTCAGGTTTACACCCCCAAGCCTCAGAAAGAGAGAAACTTCAAGCACCAGGAAATGAGAAACTAAAAATCTAGTTCCCAGGGCAACCTGACTCAGCTACTACTCAATCACCCCTGTAACAATATAACAATGTAAAAAGATTTCTATTAAGAGATGTGCTCAACTGTGACTGGGATAGTTGCAGGTGTTCCAAGAAGGACCACTGTGACCTGTGTGTAAGCTTAACTCCCACCCTGATAGCCCCCTTGAGGTTTACGTAACTGTACCCCCTCTGTGATCACCCTGTGATCAGGCCATGAAATTGTATGGAAATTGTAATCTTGTGGGTTTTGTGGGTTTTTCCTTTAAAAGCCCTTATGGGGCTGCAGTAAGATGCGACTCTTGCTCTTTGGAGCAGAGTTTGCCCATCTGTACAGATGTTTCTTAAATAAATCCTTGTGCTGTTGCATCAACTGCACTGGAGTCTGGGTTCTTGGGGCGCCCACTTGAGACCCTAAACTTTGGGATCCAACAAGAGAGGGTGATGTCGCAGTTGTTCTCAGGAATCCGTAAGGAGCTTTAGAAAGGAAAGATTGCAGGGCATGGAAGGAAGCTCAGAGGTTTCCAGTGTGTCCTGCTGTTATAGAGTACACAAGTTCAAAGCCCAGCAGGAAGAGTCCAGGCTAGGAAAACCTCTGCCCTCTCCTGGACATCAAGGCACAATGCTTGTGTGCATACACAGACATACATACACCCACAGATGGAGAGAGAGAGAGAGAGAGAGAGAGAGAGAGAGAGAGAGAGAGAGACAGAGAGACAGAGAGACAGAGAGACAGAGAGAGACAGAGACAGAGAGAGAGAGAGAGACAGAGAGAGAGACAGAGAGAAAATAATGAGGCTGGTTACAGAGTGAGAGACCTTGGAACACTAGTCTAAATGGGATGTCTCCATCAACTTTCTCCTGTTGGCTCAGGGAACCCTGTGGAAGAGGAGGAAGGAAGAGTGTAAAGCCAGAGGGGACTGAGAATACCAGGAATGCTGCTGCTTCTTCTTCTTCTTCTTCTTCTTCTTCTTCTTCTTCTTCTTCTTCTTCTTCTTCTTCTTCTTCTCCTTAAATTTATGTATTTATTATGTATACAGTGTTCCACCTACATGTATTCCTTCAGGCCAGAAGAGGGAACCAGATCTCATTATAGATGGTTGTGAGCCACAATGTAATTGCTGGGATTGAAGTCAGGACTTCTGAAAGAGCAACCAGTGCTCTTAACCTCTGAGCCATCTCTCCAACACAGGAACCCTTCTTAAACACAGCAGAACTGCTGCACTTATGAACTCAGAGAGACTGTGACAGCATGAACAGGGCCTGCATGGGCCTACACCACATGGGGTGCTGGTGTTGAGAGAAGTGGACACAAGCTCCCTCCCTAACCCAGACTCTGTCTCCAGTTGATAAGGACTTGCAAATGACAAATAGTTCTCTCAAATGCAGTCTCCCTGGGGATAGAAAGAACTCTTAAGGACAGGTTCAATGACCAGCAGTAGACAGCCAACACAAAAGAAACTCCTGGCATCTGTGATGGTTCTTTGTCTCATAGTGTTTTCTTAGGTCATTTACACACACACACACACACACACACACACACACACACACACACACACACACACACACACTACAGGTCCTTTGCTTATATAGTATGGCTACCAATTTTGTGTTTTCATGGGATTCCTCTGTGTTTGAACATGTCCTGCATCCATATGTATTCCTCATACTTTGTGTTTAGCTCTTCTTCCTCTGTTTATTATTTATTTTTTCCTACCCCAATTTGTTTTTGTTTTATTTTACTTTATTTGGTTTGCTTTTCGGGTTTCTCCCTGTAATAGCTTGATGGCTCAAAACTCACTTTGTAGACTGGCTGACCTTGAACTCACAGAGATCTACCTGCCTCTGCCTCCCTTGAGCTGGGATTAAAGGCGTGTGTCGCCACCACCCAGCTTTAAACAATTTTTAAGACAGATGCTCACTCTGTATGCCTGACAGGTTTGCCTACTTAGAACAGGTTGGTACTGAACTCACTGAGACCCACCTACCTCTGCCTCCCAGTGAGAGGATTAAAGACGTGTGCCGCCATTCCTGGTACTGACCCAAACTCTTTAAGATTCATTCTAGGTGTAGGAGTGTTTTGCCTGTGTGTATGAATGAGCACCACATGTATGCCTGCTGTCCAAGAAAGTCAGAGGGGGGCTTCAGATCTCCCGGGACTGGAGTTACACATCATTTCAGGACACCATGT